TTGCTGTATTCATTTCTTCAGTTTATGAAATAGCAAAATTTATATCCATGATTTAAGAAACAAATAATTTGTCTTATTCTGACACAAAGGCAGGAGTGAACAACTGTAAGCCAGAAAAATAATTTAAGTTAATTAAATTGTCTGATATTCATTTCTATGTGATTACTATAATACTGACAATTTGGTATTTTCAGCCAGGCACTCAAATTTTGTGTAATTATTAGGAATACATAGGGCTACTGCCCTATATTGATCTTCCCACATTGCTAATTGAGTTAAAAAACTAATAGGGCCAAGGGGTGAGAGAGAAAAGGAGGGAGCATAAGGGTAAAGAAGATGGTGGAATGAGATGGATAAAATTATCCTGAGTACATGTATGAAGACACAAATGGTGTGAATATACTGTATATAAAACCAGAGATATGAAAAATTGTGCTCTATATGTGTAATATGAATTGTAATGCACTCTGCTGTCATATATAACAAATTAGAATAAAAAATGAATAAATTTAATAACTTAAAAGTTACTTATTGTTTCTCTTTTTACTTTTTAAAATAATTTAAATCAAGAACCATGAAATTTGTCTAAGTGTAATTCTCTTATTACATATTTGTATCATTAAATTCCTTATTTATGAGTCAGGAAACATTATTTGATTTTAAAAATATAATTTTGTAGGACTATGACATATTTCCCAAATAATAAGTTGTTGCAGTTATTTAGAGAATCTCTTTTTTTGAATTATGAGATATGCATGAAGCCATTTTTATTTTTTAAATTTCAATTGGCATACTTTGCCTTATGAACTATTAAAATTAAATTATAGTTAGAAAATTTTAAAGTTATTTATTTTGATTTGAGATCTTTTTCTGTGATCTGATATTATGTATAACCAGATATTTTATTCTAATAACCAGTGAAGCATCAGAGTATGTAATTTCTGTCATAGATATTTGAATATGATTTTAGTTGAATTCCTAGGTTTATACTACATAAAGTTTATTGACTAAAATACACTTTTTGTAATGTAGAAAACCAGTGTGACATACTAATAAAGACATGAACTTTAACATTATTGAGGCAGAAACTCAAAATACTGTCCCATATTTCATAAGTTATTTCAGAAGGCAGATTTATGTTTCTTAAAATGTTTGGCTCTTCATCTCCAAGTTAAAAATAGCTTTCATTTAAAGAATATTGTAGGGGAAAAGCGATTGTGACTGCAGATATAAATTGTTTTACATAGTTGTGAACGCAATAGGTTATATTTTAAGATTATTGTTTTAAGTTAATATCACTCATATTTAATGAGATACTGTCGAAATTAATATAGCTGAAATAAAGGAATAGAATATGTAATAAGGAGTTCCAGACTAAAAAGTTGCTATAAATCAGAATTTAGTATCATTATATACGTAGAGCGTATGTGAACATGTACATACACATAAATAAGTGCAGTGCTTATGACCTTTATCTAGAATGATAAACTTCAGGCATTACATCCACAAAGGTGGCAAGGGCAAAGGTGAAGGTTAGAGTTAAAGAAAACTTTTAAAAATTTATCTGCAATGCTATGCTGCTTTACAAATGTATTCAGGGAATTAAAAGAAAAAAATGGTGCTAGTAATGATTAAAGAATCCTATTAAAGGTGTCATAATGATTAAAGGACCAATATATGTTCATGTCTTTTTCTATTAGATTTTCTGTTTCATTTTTAAAAATATGATAGAAAAAGACATATTCACAATCATATCAGTGGTATTTTTAGAAGAAATTTGAAATTACCTCTAATATGATAAAACAAATGGTCATGAAAATAAAAAATTAATCTTCAAAGACATACCAAAGTGGGGGGGGACATAAAGTTCCTGATTTCAAAACTTACTTTAAAAAATTTTTTATCAAGCACAGTAGTACCAATGTAATGGTAGACAAATAATAGCAATATTGCGGAGTCCAAAAATATCCACACATATAGTCTATTTTATGCAAATATATACAGATAATTTATTTAAGAAAGTAGTCTTTTTGACAAATAGTCCTAGAACAAGTAGCTAAGTATATTGTTAAGTTACAAAGAATTAACCCCTACTTATGCTGTGTAAAAATAACTTAAGGTGGGTCAACTTAAAAATGGAAGCTTTTATATTCTTACATAGAACTTGCATTTTTCATAATATTAAAAAATACATGTGAGTTTTGAATTACAGTGATTTCTTGGAAATGATCACAAAAGCATTAAACATGTCAAAAAGATGCATTGTAGTTTATTAAAAATAAGAATTGTATGTTAATCTATAAACATTACTAACACCTTAATAGAGTGTCACTAATCCAGTAAAATGATTTAAGATAAAAAGACTTAATGTCTAATGTTGGTTAGAATGTGGAGCAGCTAGAAATCTCTTACTCCTGGTTGGAATGTGAAATGTTATAATTACTTTGGAAAACCATTTGGCAGACTCATCCTATGATAGAGTAATTTTTACTTTCTAGGTATCTACCCAGAAACATGGAAGAACATGTCAACAAAAAGATTTTTCCACGAATGTTTGTAGTTTTTTATTTATAATAACTAAGTACTGGAGCACCATAAAGGTCCTCCAATAGGAAAATGGATAAACCAGTTATAGTCTATACATAACATGAAAAACTAAATCAGTAATAAAACAGATGTGTTATTGAAATATGCAGTGTGTATGAAACTCAAACACATTGCATTATTAAAAGAAGCCAGACACAAAAGAACAAGTACTGTTTGATTCATTTTTTATTGATATTTAGAATAGGCAAAACTGACCATGATCATGGAAATTAAAGCAGTAACTGTCCATAATAGATGGGATTTGACTAGCAGTAGGCACAGAAGACTTTCTAAGGGGACAATATTTCATGTCTTAATTTGTATGGTACTTACATACATTTATCAAAAAAAATCTGATTGTACAATTATGATGTGTACATTTCATGGTATATAAATTTTATCCTCCTATACCTCCCCCTCCAAAATGTATATGTATACACAGGTGGTGTATTGTATACACAGGTTGGAGAATCAGACATTATGTATATGTATACACAGGTGGTGTATTGTATACACAGGTTGGAGAATCAGACATTCTGGATTTGAACTCAGGTTTCTCCACTCACTGAGATATTAGGCAAGATATTCAACCATAAAGAATTGAAGTTTTACGATCCATATTGTAGAGATAATAATCCTATGTCAGAGTCATTATCATTATGTGAACCAAAAAAGGTAATATATACAGAATACTTACAAGATAGTTTCATGCTTCCTAAGTATTTGTTGTTATAAAAAGAGAATATGATTGTTAAAAAGTCACTATCATAAACAATATGAAGTGGACTATTGTTAATAATGTATCATCAACATTATCATTTAAAGGATTATTGTATACACAGTGAGAATTTGAGGATAACACAATGACATTGAAACCATGATTTAAAAAGGAGAAAAAATAAATCACAATGAAATATAAATATTTTATTGTAAAATAAAGTAAAAACATGTTACCCCAATTTTTTTACACTAGAAACAGAAAAATATGTTGAGAATCACACAACCTATCATTATCACTTTCACTACTTTTAAATATTACATATGATCCAAGTATGTACCACAACTAATTTCTTTCCTTAAATATTTTTCATTGGCTTGAATAACTAAGCATACATAAGTTGGTATCTGGCATTTTCATTTCTTTAGTATTTTTATTGTAGCTTATCATAGTTTATTTTCTTGTCTTTTTCCTACATTTTTGTAAGACAACTGGGCCTTCTATACAGTTTTATGTACATACTTTGCATGTTTTAGTTAGCTCAGTTAAGCACTATAAATATTTTCTCATAGCTAAAGCTCTCCTTAAACAAATAGTGAGCTCCAAAAATGATGTTGTCAATTAAATAGTCTAAGCTTTAATAATAGATTGGGTTTTTTTACATTAGGTTAATCATAGTGTATCATGAAGTATTAGAAATTCAGTAGATTAATTAAAGCATAGCCTTTTCAATACTGTTTCTATCAGTTTTTCTGTCATTAAAACATTATGCTTGTCCTGTTCAATATGTTTGCCATATATTAAAGCTTTTATTCTAATTTTTTTAAATGTTAACATAGTAAATAAATATATTTTTAATGTGGACTTCATGATAGACTCCATGAAAATTAGTGAAAATAAGAATGGAGTGAGAATGAGTTGGTGGACATTTTTGGCAGTTTCTAGGTGATGGATCATAGATGGTAAATTATTTACCAGGATGAATTCAGATGACAAATATATTTTGTTCAATCCACCTTGCTTTACAAAAATACAAATGGTTCGCTTTCACTTAAAATTGGGAGATCTCCCATTACAATTCGGGTTTCTGACCTCATCTTGCATACTTAAGACCTGACCATTCTGGATTGCAATTATTCATTTCTACCAGACAACAATTAAGTAGAACTGAACAGAACTTGCCTCATTTAAAGAATGTGCTCCTCAAGTTTTCCATAGACTCCACCCAGGTGGCCTCATTCAGGTTACCTGCTCAGCATTTAACCACATTTTCTCACTAGGGAAAAAAAAAAAAAAAAAAAAAAAAGAGCAGAGCAACTTAGTATTGTTTTTTCATTTAATAGGCACTGAATATTTGGGGAGGGGAGGAAAACAACTAGGAAAAAAATACAATAAAAGAAATAAAAAGTCATAAAGAAGGAATTCTTGCTTCTAAATTCAATAGCTCTTTATTCGTGGTTCATTAGTGGCTCCTCCACCCCCACACCTAATTGTCCTACTTGGGTAGGCATTGAATTAATGTTAGCATGGCCCCCTTCACTTATTTACTCATCCCTGTCCCTATCTATTGCTCCTTTGAAGTACCTTCTATGAATGTCTTAGAGTACCTCATGTGATTGTGTTCTCTTAATTTAAAGTACAGTTTGGCATATTATGATTAAAATGTAAATCTTTTTTGTTTGATTTTTTTGTAAAGGCTGAAGAGATAACTTTAACAATTGGCCAAGCATTTGACCTGGCATACAGGAAATTTCTAGAATCTGGAGGAAAAGATGTTGAAACAAGAAAACAGATTGCAGGTTTACAGAAAAGAGTGAGTAAACTAAGCTTGTTGTTTCACATTTGTATGCTGTAAGTACAGGGAAGCTTGCATATCATCAAACAAATTTAGAAGGCCTGCCATTAAATTTCCCCCACACTGATTGGAACTGCTTTCACTGTGTTCCTATAATTTTTCATTCCTGATCCCCTGCACAGTTTTTAACTTATTTTATATTGAATTCCCACAAGAACTTAGTGTTCTCATGTGACTTTGCTTCACTTCCTGATGCTTCTCATGGGGATCAGAGCAGCAGAAGCAGCAGATGCTGGGTAAGTGGTTTCCCATGCAGATCAGATTCCTTTGTAATTAAATTACACCCTTTCTCCACTCTTCAAAACATCATAGGCCAGTTTCACTGTCTTGTGGTTATACTCCAAGATTATGGGTATAGATTGCACAGTGCAACAAGAAAACACAAAGATGACACATTAGGAACATAAAATTTGCACACACATAAAATGTACTTTAAATTGAATTTATCTGTCCAGTGACCTAGAATCCTCTATAATTCCTATTTTGTAAAATAATTTTCTCCCCTGTGCACAAAAGAGTATATTAAAAATACATATGTAAATAAAATAAAATGTTATTTGTTAATGTAGTCAATGTAATAGCCAATATTTACCAAGAAATACTTCTGAAAGTTATTCAGTACTCATTTGCTTTTTTAGATCCAAGACTTAGAAACAGAAAATACGGAACTTAAAAATAAAGTACAAGATTTGGAAAATCAGTTGAGAATAACTCAAGTATCAACATCTCCAGTAAGTGTATTGAATATGTGTATGCTTTCCTATAAACAAGATTATATGGTGATAAAACATTCTCTTGAGTTGTAAATTCTGCAACAAATTATAATACTTTGTCTTCCATAATTTAAAATTAAACACAGATAGGGATGAAGCCTGATAAACCAGGATAATTAAAAATTAAAATTGCCTCTGGGGTTCAGGCCAGAGTTGTTTTCCATGTTGTTTTTCAAAATAATTCAACCTCCCATGTGGTCCTAAGGTTTAAGATTATCTTTCTGTTTGTGGTTTATTCTTTCTTTCACTCTTATTGATTAGTATTTACTGAGGTCAGTTTTAATGACCCATGCCTCTGTACTCCTGGAGTGCTGAACTTTGTTATAGGAAATGGGCTAAAACCGAGACTAAACATGGTTTCTTATATTACATGGCAAGCGTTCCCAGTGGGAGTGAGGAAATTTTATTTCAGACACTGAAATAAGTGGTTGCTTCTGCCGACAACACTCAAGTGCTTGTAGTTAAATTATTTATTTCTGACTTGCCACAGTTTTGAAATCCTTTTCCCAATACCATGTATGACATCATTATTATTTGATTTGTGCAGGAGGATATATTTTGAAAGTAATTGAAATTGAAAACAATATTTTTTGTAGGCAAAATGTATTTAGGACTTTTTTTTTCCTTTTGAATCCTCTGTACCACTGTAATTGATCTCTGTTAATGTGTATATTTTATTGTTATTATTAAATATTTAAAATTAATATATAACATTAAATGATACTATTAACTGAAACACAATTGTGGTCTAGGTAAACTTTTGAAAGAATTTTGAAAATTTTCATATGTAGGTATGTAATTTTGTTTACATCTAAATACTCAAATAGTTCACCAGCTCATCATTATGAAAAATGCTTCTATAAAAAGCTGGACTTATGGAGCTGGGGTTGTAGCTCAGTGGTAGAGTGCCTGCCTAGCATAAGTGAGGCACTGGGTTCAATTCTCAGCACCACATAAAAATAAATAAATAAAAATAAAGGTTAAATTATTTTTAAAAAAAAAGAAAGAAAGAAATTGGACTTATGGATTCAAATGTGGCATGCCCTGGAGATGGGTCAAAAAAAATTTTATTTATAAACTCACACTTTCCATCATTCACACTGAGAGAGTTGGGCTTTCCATTGCTTGTCATAGGTTTTGTAATGTGGGGCTGATGTGGCTGAAAAGACAGAGGTTCCCAGGAAGGTACCCGTGTAACTATGAGAAACACATTGAGGTGGTGGGGTATCCTCTTTGAGTTCTGGTTTTATTATAATTATGCCTTCCTAATTTTTCTCTTCACTGTTTACTACTCTCAAGGATTACAATTTTTCTCTTGCCTCCTTCATCCCAAGTGACAGAAAATTCACTCCAAAACTTTCTTCAACTTTTGGTCCCCAAATGGAATGTGTACCCTTTTTGTTGAGACTTTATATAAACTATTCTATGAGACAAAATATAAAAATAAAGGGGAAGTTACTTTTTTTGTAGAATCTATGACAAATGCTTTTGTATTGGCAAAGGTATAAAATGGATGCATCATCATTTTGGATACGGAAGGAGAGCTTTTCCACTGTGTTTCTGCTTTATTTGAAGAAGGAACCCTGAGGATACCATGTTGAGGGGCAAGATTTGGGAGGATTAGAGGGATTTGAGGCATGTTAATAAAACTGCTTCCCCCTCCTTCTTTCCTGTGTCCTCCAAGTTGTCAATGTTCAGAAATAGAACTGGTGTAACTAATGAGAGGATGGGTTGGGCTTGGTCCTGATTATCTCTTGGGTTTACCAACTCACCTTCAGAAATGGTAAGGGGTAAAAGGAATGATGTGATGATTATGACATTCGTTTTTTTGACCACTTGGCTGAAATAGCTATTATATGTGGTAAGCAAGAAAGTTAATGTAAATGAAAGACAGAATGTGAGCATATTCATTTATTCAGAAGTTTTCATTGGTAGAATCAGTTATACAAAACAAACAAAAACCTATTAAAATTGCTAGTCATTAAAATGAATTGGCTCTTAAAATATTAGCCCACTTAATAATTATTTTAGGTGTTGTGTTCATCTCAGATTGAATCTATCTGAATGCATGCTTCAAAGACTACAGTTAATAGGATGAATCAAAAGAAGAAATCATTTTCTCTGCATTTTACACTTAATTCTCATGTGTAGAAAATAATCATTGTAAAAATAACTCAAATTCTAATTTTGTAGTGTATTTATATCATTTTGCCACAGTAATATCTTTGTGCTTTTTCTTTACCTTAATCTTAATCTTACATGATTAAAATTTAAAAAATTTTAATCATGTAAGTTTAAATGTCATACACTAGAACATATACATCTTCTCTAAGACAGAATCATGTTAAATAAGATAGATGAGGCACAGAAAGACAAATACTGCATCATGTCACTTATATGTGGATTCTAAAAAAGTCTAACTCACAAGAGGAGAAAACAGAATGATGGTTACAGCCTACAGAGGTGTAGTGGGGAAGGCTGAACAAGGTGAGACTTGGATCAAAAGAAACAAAATTTCAGTTTGACAGGAAGAATACTGTACAACATGGCACCACCAATAATCCTTGAGAATTACCAGGGTGTTTTAAATATTCTCATCACAAATAAATATGTATGTGAACAAAAGAAACAAATTATATGCTTGTGAACAAAGGAAAATAGAAATTATTTGATTCTCAAAATAAAATGACCTCAAGAATATTTTTAAACTGCTAAAATTTAAATGTGAAATTAAGTGTCAATGTTTAAAATGTAAATTACTGACATAACTGATTAAGTCAAATGGTTTTGAAAATATTGTTACAGGCATTTGTTGATTTGCTCTCATTTTTTAAACAGATTATGAACAAACACTTTTGCCTTTCATTTACAAGCTTAATTATGTAGCTGTGAAATAAAGTAATGTAACACCTAGTGCAAGTATATTTATTTCATATCTGTTAAAATGAGCTACCAACTTTCTGATATTAAAATTTAAGAATAAATTTATCTACAGTTATTTAGTATGAAATGTTGCCACTTTAGAGGAGTTGTTGATGATTGAAGCAATTGAAGTTAAATTTGCAAAAGACAATGAAAATTTAAATAATTTGAGTATAAACTTAAAATAAGAGCATCTCTTGTTTAATTTCTTGMCATCATGCTGGAGCAATCAAATTTCTTTTGAACTAAAAATGTTTTACATCAGTTTTTTCTTATGAAATTTGAATATCAGTTTTACAGAATCTAGAGCCAGAACAAAAAGCACCTCACAGAACCCCTCCAAGCAGGCAAAGTGACTGTTCATTGAGCTTATGGCTCTGGAGAGGAGACCTTGTAGGTTTTGTTTGTTTTGAGTTCAGAGGATAGAATTCTCCTAAACTGTCAAGGTCACAATACTTTGTTTCAAGGATTAATCAGCAATCCATATTTTAGGGAAGAATTGAAATGAATAATGAATCCCATTATGTACACTGAAATTATGATATAGATGGGTTTATTTTATACAATTAATTTGTCCTAGTATTCTTCATGAGCTTTCAGTGTGTTATGTGACATGGGCTCCCAAGACTGATGGTTCTTCACAATTGACCAGCCCAAACCAGAATGCTTACACGTCTCCTAAATACCACCAATTGGTTTAGTCATGGGTTTCTTTTCTGGCAAATGAAATATCTTTTGATAATACCCATAATACATACCTCTGAAACACACTGAGATTGTGGAAATCTTTTCACTGGTTTTAGAAATTGGGTCCTTATTTTAAACGATCATTTAGATACACTGAGAAATTTCCGTTACTTGACTGTGCTGTTTGCTTTTTGCTGTGTTCTAGTGGTTTGGCAATAGATTAGAGGTTGGGTTTTCCACCATTTGGTTCTAATTATCTAGGAACAATCTGATTTCCATTTATTACATTCACATGGCAGTGTTGCCTGTATTTATATTAGAAAAAGGGTTTATTCTGCCCTCCTAGCCTCATGAACACCTCCAGAAGATTGTTCCATTATAAGATGTGGGTATAGAAAGTTAAATCAAATTGTTCCTTTTGACTCTACATCTGAGTGCTTACATTTAACTTTGCTGGCTCTAGAAACTTTTAACCAAATCAGACTATTGCCAGAAAGTTAAATGAATAAAATTGTAGTTCTACGAAATACTGTCTTTTCTATTGCAGAGTTAAATAAACGTTCTCTTTCAGTTAAACCCAGTATTAGATAAAATTCTACTTTTATGTAATCAACTATGCAGCCCCTGATTAGACTTGATAAGACAATTATGACCTAAAACGTGTATTTCACTGTGGGTAAACAAACCTGCTTGTTTATTTTTTCTAGTGCTTTCTAACCTACTCTTGAAGTCAGGATGGGCAAGAGCAGATTGTGAAAAGTCTCAATTACACAACAAGCCAATGCAAATCTTTAAACAAAGGCATAAATGTTAAACATGAACATTGGTACATGAACATTTGGTGCCCACAAAAAGTGAATTACCAGTCCACAACTTCACTCTCATAATTGCTAGTTGTGTAAAAAATGATTCAAAAAGAGCAAATTCCATTCAATGAGAAGTAAATCCATTCTCATTTCATTTGTGACTAGAAGTACCTGGTCAAGTCTTATAGCCACTCCTTCTTTCAGGTTTCTCTGTTCTTTGTGGATAATCATCTCCACTTAATTTGCAAGATCCTTGTGAGAACTATGTGATAGTAGGTCTTACAAATAAGAAAGAATATAAGCCAGCTATGGACCTAGAAAACTGAAAAACAAACAAACAAGTAAACAAAAAATATTCCTAGTGCTCTAAGTTTAAACTGGAAAATTCATTACATTTGAAAGCTATTTAAGAAGTGATGTTGGCAACATGGCATAAGAGTGAATTTTGGAAGTATGAATCTGCATGACAATCTACAAAGGTCTGCTAGAACATTGTACACTTACCATTATATTGTTATATTGTCCCATCATCAGAGTTTTTTT